ACACACGCCCTTTCCAACTGTTTTGGTGTAATTTTCATTATTTAGTATTCCTTGAGAAGCCCCTCAAGTGTAGATTCTGCCAAATCCAGAGAAGTTTCAGTAAGCATAGGAGCAAAGGCGACTACGAAAATATTTCTTGCGCTCTTCTTTTATACGACGAGTAGCACATTCAACAGCTTACAGAATTCGTCCTCCCATATATGATCCAAAGAATTTAAACTCACCTCCTAAGTATGCTTAGGTCCCATGTACAGGCACGTAAAAGCTTAGTTGAGTAAATCTCCAGCTCGGCAACAAAAGAAGCTAGAAAGCTCAATTTTTGACAAGAACCTCAAAACAGTTTGAATTAGAGAAACTGTGAGGACTACAATAATGGATTGAGAAAGCGACATGGGAACAACATTTTCAATTGGTGGCACAGTTTGTGTTCCATGTATCTACTACCAGTGGCAAGACTTGTGCAATTCTGCAAATAGAACTGCAAACGTGGAATAACATTTAACGACCATAAATAGCAGTGCCGAACTATCACTCCTTCCTACTTATCAGAATTATGGAAATTAAAATCCGGACTCCATTGTGCATTTTTGACCTGTTACAATCCCAGGCTGCACAGCAAGGACAATCTAGAAGAGCCAGGTACGTCTGTGTCTGGCAGAGGCATATTTCAGAAACACCTAAGCTTCGTGCTGGATGGCAACCCAAGCGATCTTCATGAGAAGGCTTTAAGATAGCGGATAACCTGTACAACATGATTATTTGGATACAGAGAAGAGTGTCTGCGATCGTAGGTCGCTGAATACACGCTGAGATCATCGTTTTGCAGCCAATCGTTCAAAACAACAATATTTGGTTTTGCAAGTCGGCAGCGCCACCAGTATTGCCGCACTTTTGCTTCCTGAAAAATCGCTCCTTTGTCTATGTTTGCTTCGATACTAATATAAAATCCCCAAATCGGCAAGGTGTTTTAAGAGAGGCAACATTTGGAACGAGACGGTGGTACACAAAAAATATCAAGGGCGCCTCGAAACCGCCAATCCCGGCCAAGTGTTTCCGTCAAGAGAGTAGCGCTGAGCTGTTAATTCCTTCAAGAGACAAAAAAAAGTCAGGAATGCTAGCAGGCTGATCACCAAGCGGTGCAACATTACTCGGAGTAACCGGAAAAGTTACTAGTTTCGGTAATACGCCAGTGATCCAAATATTACAAATTAAGTTTAAAAAGTAGTTAATTGATTCTCAGCTTACTGATTTGTTAAAATTTTATTTTTACTGCCTACTAATCTAAGACACAATTTTAAATTTTCGGGGAATAGTTTGTACTTAGTTGTAAAGCTGATTTAGGAATAATAAAGGTTCTGACATAATATAAAATATCGATTAGCTGAGATTAGGATTTTCGGTTCATTGAGTTACAAACATTTTTACAACTGGACCTCGCAGTACAAACAGAAAAGTCTGCTTCCTCCGACAGATGCATGAGTTGGATAGAGAATGAAAATAACCTTTTCCACTACCGGCCGAATTTCAGCTTTCCCAATCTTGAGATCATGCATATACTGTATTGTTTCCAACACGTAGTCCATGTCTTCATCAAAATCACCTCCATTTCTATTATCCGTTTTAAACTTTGCTTCTGTTGGCTCATCCAGAAAATCCCGGAATATACTTAGGCTGATATTGAGCAATGTCAGACAAATAGAAATGCGCAGAAGTCGTGATCGCGAATTCCAAAAACTGCACAGCATCAGCCGCCGGCCAAACATATTTAAGGGAAAGAAATAATTGAGATACTAATTTACCGGGCATAACAGTTAA